GGAATATAAGGTCCCCATAATTCAAAATTTCCACACCAATTTATTTTTCATTTATTAACGAGCACTTTAGGTGCTATCAATAATACTCTTTCGGTAGGGTTGTTTTGTTTTAAAGAAACTAAGTTTCAAATAATAATGCGTTAAAGATGATATTTTAATTTATGACTGTTGTAGTGAATGAGTGTTTTATTTACAAATGATTTCCTTCATTTATATGGAGAAAAAACTATAAATTGAAAAAAAACGCAAAAAGGAAGTAGAAAATAACACGAACAAAGTGTTAGTTGTCATCATCGACAATGAAATAAATAAAAATCTTATAGTAAAACTTAACCTGCCACACACCCTTTTTTATTTTTTTATTGAAATAAAGAAAGTAATAATAATAAACAATTAAAAATAGTAGTAAGAAAAAATAGATAAAAATATTAATGATAAACAGCATCATTTTCAGAAGAGATTAGACTTCGGTAATAGTAGACCTTTTATTATCAATAGAAATATTAATTTGCATTCACAAATTTTTATGACTAAGGTAATAAAAACATGATTAATGTCTTTACGACATCTGAGAATGTATGCGCAGTGTGAATAATTTTGATGAATTTGAATCACTGCATAGCTATACGAGCGATTTACAACTCCATTGTACCGTTTCAATCCGATGTTTTGTTCCTCTAACTTGTCCTCATTACCATAGAAAAAAATCATGACTTGATATCCATGGAACCCTAAGATACTGAACGCGCAAAGTCTAGGGAGCCGTTTTTTAGCGTCACCTGCCGAGGAAAAACGGTTCTTTCCTAGCTTAGTCTCATATTTGAAGTGGAGCGAAATCAGCTAGTTTAGAGCCTTTACTTTCTGCTTTCAAAATATGTGACTAGTTAGTATCTTCGTCACACTTTTCTCCGTCATTTTTTGTGAAAATCCCCTTTATAATCACTATTCGATTTTCTGTCACGCGAGATTAAAAACGCTGCCCACACTGAACGGATTATCTAAAAACGTTGAGAGAGGTCTTAGATGAAACCCAACAGACAACAAAATGATAAAAAAGAAAAACATATGAATTATGTCTTAGCAGGAAAAATCTGAGACGAAACTTAAAACTACGATTTTCACACTCAATGTCAGGCGAGATTTTTGATTTTTATTTATCTGTAACTCTCTCATTTTTTGGACATTTGAGACAAAGCTTTGCTTCTTTTTATCTGCTCATTGTGGGTAACTGCTGGCGTAAAGCGTAGCGTCTTGAGAACTTCCCTAGTGAAATCCCTATGAGTTTCCTGACAGGATCCGAGACATATCCTACTAGGATTTTGCTTTAATTTCTTAGGATTCTAACAAAATCCTATAGAATCCTAATGAAATCAGGTATATCCGAAAGTCATATCGACCTCACTATGCGATCGAGTCGAGTTTGTGTCTGTTCGGGCAAAAAATTCATTAAGTAGGGCGAATGATAAAAAACTCAGGGTTTTTAGATCTGATTGCATATTAAAAGCGATGGGTAGAAAACTGCTTTCATCTTGTAATCTTATATAGCACAAGAAAACGTACGATTCAGTTTCTGTATATTCGACAATTTGTTTCGCCCATTTTTTCATCTAAACGGTACAATGGAATTGCAAAACGCTTATATGTATGAAAAATTTTGAAATGAAGTCAAGATCTGAGCAATAGGAGTTTATTTAAGGATGTCCATCCCCTCTTTTTGGGCTTTCCGTAGAAATGCTGTGAAATAAAAACTAAAAGCCGCCGGGCTTCGTATTTTCGGAACTGATTGGAAACTCAATAGAGCATTTTTTCAACTATTGCCGTTCACCAGTTTATCAGAAAATTTGGTTTTTCATTCGGTCACATTATGACCCCCCTTAAATTTCATCCGATCGAATTCCAAATTTTACCTGAGGTACTCAAGGTCATTCCGCAGAGATAATTTCTGGGAAATTTTTTTGAGACCTTTCCTGGTCGAGTTATAAGAAAAATACTGAAAAACGTCTCAAAAACCAAGTTTTTTTTTTTCATTTTTTTTCATTTTGCAGCCCACACTTTCCTCTACATTAGGCTATGCTCACCTTAAAATTCGAAATTTTAAAAAAAGAGGGTTGAATTTTAATAGAGGTTATTGCATTTGTGCGAAAATAAGTAGCACTTTTTTTATCAATGTTTACGTCTTATTGTTATACCTAATACAGCGCAATATTATGGATTACATTTCAAGTACATAAAGATTGTTCAATCATTCATTTGATCTGTATTTATAATATTCATAATAGCTGGATGAACTTGAACTTTGAACGAACGATTATAACAAAAAAGAAGAAAGAATAGAATAATGTAGTCTTTATGTTCAATATGTTTCGGTATTTACTACTCATTGCAAATTACAAAAAAAAACAAGGAAACAGAGAATAAGTCAAACGAAGCAAAAGTAAGAGATAGAGGAAGGAGAAAAAAACTGTAGTACGATGTGTGGGGGGATGGAGAAAAAGAATTTTGAGCTAGAAAAAAGAAAAAAGGTGTATCGATAATAAACATGATCCTGACACCTTTCTATTTTTTTTATACATAAAACAGAATGATATTACAGTTGTCTACTACTACAATTATTAAAATCATATCACATATTTTCACTCGTTTTTTTTTTTCCTCGAAATTAAAATAAAAAAGTCATCTGCCTCTTCTACTGCTGTGCTTAAGTCAATCAGTTACTGTTGTTTTTGATTCAAGAGTGATGACACAATGAAGAAAAAAATATGTAAAAATACAGAACGGTTATTCTTTTTCGTCTACTGGAGATGAATAAAGAAAAAAAAAGAAAAATTTTTCACTTTTTTTTTTCTGTTCATCATTATCATTTATGTTTGATTCATACATTTTCATGCATTAATCATCTTTATCTTTTATACATTTTCGTGAATATACATATATACGTGTAGTATGTATGTATAGTCTACGTTCGAAATAGAAGTAATCGACTCATTCAGTTATTAATAATTATATACGATGTTGATTAAACTCTAATTTCCGCAATATATTGTGTTCATTCCTCTTACATCTCTTATTTTGGATAATGGGCTATGATTTTATATCTTCTTTACACGTGTTGCTCTATATTATTCATTCTATTGTCATTAATTATCATTGGCTCTCTATGGATATTTCACCTCTGTGGTATCGGTTACGGGTAAGAGACATATTGAATAAAATCTAAAAAATTTTCATAATAACATCACGTTGATTACACGCTAATTTAAAATAATTTATTCTATATAAATGCATCGCATCATAGAATATTTCAAACATTTTTATTGCATTAGCGGTGTAAATTAGCATATGTCTATCGTCCTCTTATGAATCTATGCTAGAGAAGCAGTGCGATTTAGAACTCCTTCAATAGAATTCTATTTAATTTAGTGTAAAACTTGGCGGTTTTATTCATAATTTAGTATTCGTTATGTCCAGTTCAGAAAATTTAGTATTTTTCAATTAATCTAATAGGTAAACATGGAGGTCGTTTGAGCGTACCCGATTACCTCTTATTTTCTGTATGTTTATCTATCGTATCTAATTTTTTTTTGTTAGCTACTTTTCTACGTCTCTTGCCTAGTATTAGAATAATCCATTATTATTCAGATGAGTCAGTCTTTCGTTAACGATACTCTTCTACTTTTTTGCATTATTATCAGTGAAGCGTGAATAAAAAATCATACTATTACATATTTAATATGATTGGTTGGTTATTTGGCTATGTTGAATGAACTATTTTGTAAAGAAAACTAAATACGGAAGTCATATATGAATGAAACTGATTTCGTCTTGATAACAATAACATCATAGAAGATAAATTCAATTCAATCTGTATTGAACATCTAAGCCAGACTTTTATTCAGATAGCGTTTATCTATTTATATATTCTAGTCATTAAACAATTGCTATATAGACACTTTCCATACTAATTATCATAATTTCCGGTTTTGCTGGTTTTTTGTTCTGACGTACAGAAGACATTAATTTTTGTTTTCATACAAGGACACAACATTTTAAGTTCAATAAATTTGATAAGTGTTTGATTTGTGAAAATAATAAAAGTCAAGACGTTCAAAACCCTTGAAAAAATAACGCGAAAATCTATTCAAATAAAGATTAGTGCATAGGAGTGCATGTTGACCTATAATAACAGTCATAATAAGGTAAAAATTACGCAAAATGAATTATTAAACTTACATAGTTTCATAATGGAAATACTTATTCGATATTTTTTCTGATGAAAAAAAACACAGTATTACATAATTTAATTCTTAGCATACTAAGGATTTACGCTGTAATCAAAGCAGGGATAAAGCACTTTTCTTCCGTTCCGAAAAAAACTGTTCATAGAAAAATAGCATTTATTACTGACACGCTATATTTCAATTTTTTCTTTTAAAGACTACACTAGTCGACGATCAGCTCGGTCTAAAAAGTTGAACCAGCTATGCAATTTTATTAGGGCTGGATTTGAATATGCATTAGCTCCGAAAAAACTCTGTAATTTCAGAAATTGTCCTTTTTTAGAAAATTCAATTCTGATTCCGTTATCAGATTCATAGCTGAATGAGCTGATCAGAATTATCATCTCTGAATCAGAAGATACATTTTAGTTGAAGTCTGATTCAGCCCTGATAAAACATGCATTTCTTGAAAGGGATCAGTAAAATTGTTGAGACAGTAATATGCACCAAATCACTGCAATTTTTTGTATTTTCTTTGATATTTTAGTTAACTATTATAGCGGAAAGAGGAGTCCTCATACACTAAGCTACGAAGCTGACAATAGAAATATGCAGAGCGCCCTTATCCTACCCTCAAGCAGGGTGTGAGGCATAACTGCGACGCACGATACAAATTTTAGTGACTTTTCAACTTTTAAACAATCTTCTTCGGACTAATCTGAAGATTGGATGAAAAGGAAGATATAGATAGATATAACGGATTCAGCACTAGACTGCTTGCTCATGTGGTATGAAACGGCAAAAAGTCTTGGTGCATAAGAAAAACGAGTTCTTTCAGGTGATGGTAATTTTAATAAAAGCAGCAAAACACTAGCCAGATAATACGGTGTGACTGTGCTCAATTTCTTAGTACAAACAACTATTACTTTATTTCTTTAAATAACAAAACAATTTGTTAATACCAGATACACATAGTTTTGCAGAGTGACACTCTTTTTAAGCGTCGGCCAGGGTCTTCAAGCATTATTTGAGTTCCGCAAAACAAAAAAAGCAAATGATCCAATCTTTACTGACCACTCGTTAGGTTCCAATTAGCATTTGATGCGCTATTTATTAGTTTTCTGAAATGACTATTAGTACGTAACTACGTACAAACAGATGCAAAGCCATATATTCATTCTAATTCTTTCATACTATCACGTATTTAACTATTATTTTTGTTTTTGCAACATTCTAGCTTGTATAAATTTCATCGCAAACCATCATCACCATCAAAAGAGTTACCTGGTGTATCCATTATCAAACCATTGACTGGTGTTGATTGTAATTTAGCAGAAAATTTAAAAACATTTTTTGAACTTGATTATCCAACATACGAACTTTTGTTTTGTGTACAAGAGCCAAATTCAGAGGCCATTGATATAGTCAAGAGATTACAACAACAATATCCACGTATTGACTCACAATTATTTATTGGTAAGTAACACAAGTAATTTTCTTATATTTCAACTAGATGCTAATATGACAGATTTAAAAAAAGATATGGTCTATCTATCCTGTTTCAGATGTTGTTTTCTTGCAGCTTTTTTCAAGTGCTTGCTGTGATCATAAAACCTGTAATAGTTTTCAAATCATGTTCTTGCAGGAGCCGAAAGTTCATTGAACGATGAGGTTATTCCAGTAGTTTATAAATCAAAAAAATCTTGTTGGAGTTGGAGTTTCGGTACGGTTTGTCCTTAATCAAAAACACCGCTTGTATTCAAAAACAACAATAATACTCTAGTGATACTAATGCCTTTCAATCGAAGTTAGCGTTATTGTTTTGTTTTTTATAACCGTACATTGCATATAATACTATTGAAACGCTTTCTAATATGTGTGTGCATGTGTATGGTATGCTCAACAAACATTGACTAGATGTGGTGATACGATTAGGAAAACTTATGATATAGTTGCTATTTTTAGTGTATAAGACATGTAAACTATACTTCTCTTCCGCAGTTCAAACTAAATTTTAAACAAAAAATTTTTTCTATATCTCCCTTAAAATACCAATGATTGTAATCTAGTATCAACTAATTTATACTCATAATACGTTTTTAATCTATAACGCTCTATTATTATTTACTTTTAGGTTCTCAAAGCGAAAAATTTACGATTGGCATCGAAGTTAAAAATCCTAAAATATTTAATATGATTCCCGCTTATGATAAAGCAAAACATCCTTTATTTCTCATATCAGATAGTGGCTTAAAGAGTATGTCAATAGTGTATTCTTCTTTTGTCCATTTATATCATCATGTTGTTTTTACTACTATTCAGTGCATGAAACTACGTTATATGATATGGTGGCATGTATGAATGAAAATGTTGGTCTTGTTCATCAAATGCCATTTACGTGTGATAGAAAACGATTTGCTGCTTCTGTAGAAAAAGTATGTATCACAATTTAATTATTAACAATAATTTTTTTAAAACATAAAATATTAGAGTTTTGATGTGCAAAATAACAGGTAATTAGATAGTTTTAAATTTAAATATATTGTCTTTATGATACATAAAAGAGGAGGTTAATTGATATTTTATAATTTATTTACAATTTAATGTTCATAATGACCGAGTGACCTGTAGATATGAAGAAGATGAGTTGTGTAGAACTAGAAATTAGAAATAGTAGTCGAAGTTTAGACAAGATATTGGAAAACTCTAACAAAGATCAGAGTTGCGAAAAAAATGCTTTTCTTAAACAAATTATCTTTTAATGAAGAATAAATGACAGATAAAGAAAGATTTTACCCAAATCTAGAATGTATAGAACGCAGTAATGTAAGGTTAATGTGTATAAAAATGTCAGGATGAGTAATTCGATGTAATTTCGAATAAGAATTATTTTATTTTCTGTACAAGTCGTAGAAATGACTAATATAATGGAGTTAGATTTATACAGGCGTTTTCTTTCGATTATTTTTAGGTATATTTTGGTACTCAACATGCTCGAATGTATATGACAATTAACTTAATTGGTATCAACTGTGTGACAGGAATGTCATGTTTAATTCGAAAAGAGGCTATTGATAAAGTGGGAGGATTAAGAGCATTTGGACATTATATTGCTGAAGATTTTTATTTAGCATACGAAGTAGCAAAACAGTAAGTTTGTTTATATTGATTTTTTACATTAGTTTATGATGAATTAACTTTTTTTTTCTTCTTTATATTATATTCGTATACGTAACTCGGAAAGATTTCTTCTCTGATTGACAGTTACATATCATTTGCAGTATTATGAAGCAATTATGCTCCATCTCTGATTCATACTGAATATGTCGCCTATACTGTCAACTGAAACATTTATTTTTTAACTCTGAAGCGACAATAGGAGTAGAAGGTGCAACGCTAAGATACTGATTAATGTTTTATACTTTTGTTTTTTTATTTAAAGAGGTTGGAAAATTCGTGTGGCACCAGCACCCGCTCTCCAGAATAGCGGTGAATATAGTATTCGAACATGGATTGATCGAATGATTCGTTGGTATAAATTACGAATGAGACTCTCTCCTTTAGCATATCTTGAACCATTTCAAGAATGTTTATCATCGGCATTACTAGCTGGCATAGTGACCAATTATTTATTTGAATGGAATTCTCTTGTTGTTACAGCATGTCATATACTTATTTGGTTTATGTTAGATTATCTAATGTTAAGAATTACACAGGTATGATATGATGAATATATCTTCTGAGCATATCACGTAACTGTGCTAATTAAGAAGCAATATATTTCCTAATCTGCTAAAGTGACATAAAATTAAGTAAACGTATTTATTTTAAGATTTTCTTCTTAAGATCTACATGCTTTTCATCAATAGAGAAGTTTTAGTTATTAACCTCTTTACCAACCATTAGTTAACTAGTCACGCATTCTTTTTAAATAAAAAAAAAGCTCAACTAGTAACCATGTTGTTCATTTCTTTATCTATAGGGTGGTCCATTACCATTTTCCAAATTTGAATTTGCCGTTGCATGGATGATGCGTGAGATATCAGCATTTTACATCTATTTCAAAGCATTTACTGAATCTTCGACAATAAAGTGGCGTGGAAGAGTATTCAAATTAGGTACGGGTACTCGTGCCGAAGAAATTAAACCATTAACTCCATTTCTCATCCAACAATCACCAGATTCTTCTTCAACAACATCATCGACTTTATCTCTGATTACTAATTCTAGTTGTAGTACCACAGACGATTCTAAACTACAATCACAGCAACTACTAATCGTTTGAAAGCTAAGCTTTATCTCTTTACTCGTGTAAATCGTGCAGGTCACGCTAGCTGTTTTTTATTTCTTAGGTCAATAACAAAAAAGCTTTCTTTTTTTTTCTTTCATTCTTAATTTATTTTGGTGATTTCTTTTTTATACACATCGAGTTTCTTTTTGTTATTTGCCTTTTGTGAGTCACAAGCTTATGGCAAAATTAGAGCTCATTAGTTCTAATTTTGAAGATATGAAATGATCGATGCTCTTGAGTTAATCGAACAATGGAATAAAATGAACGATATCAAGACACTATTTAAAAACAAATATTTTCATTCCAAGCAGTTTTTTATTTGACTGTTTAGGAAATTAAACGTAAATATGTATGCTTAGTAATCTATTTCACCCTCTTAGAGTCAAACATTTTTATTTTTTCGCGTTCCTGAGTATTCCATTCATTCATAAAATACTTAAGGCTGCCCTCCCTCCCCCTTCAGAAATCGATGATTTTCGTAGAAAAAATTGAAATTGAGTTTCTTACGCAGCTAGATAGGCTAAAGTCTCCTCTTTCAGAATATATTGCGCTTTCCACTGAGGAACTAGTTTTTTATGAGATTTTCTGTCAGCCACCTCGGTTTTCGTTCAATTTTTAGCAATTTTTCCTTAGTTACAGTGGGTAAAATAGCGTCATCTTCAGTAGTAAAGATGTTTACTTAATGTAATATGCCATAATCATGATATCTGGTATTTCTGTCAGATATTGATTAGGTTTTCTAGCGGTCAAATAACCTCTATGAGGAAAAAAGAAAGAGCTTTCTTTTTTGCTTTATAAATATATATCACACTCCTATATTGAACCTTAGATCTGCTGTCACTATGCTCTTCAAGCTTGTTTAGCATTTTTCTCAGAACATGGATTTAGCGGAACAAAATTGTACCTCCTCCTAGACGATTCATCGGAAAACCTTTATTTTTTTTTTATTTTGAAACTAAGACATCTATCTAAAGCAATTTTTGAATTTCGTTTTCTGTGCAGATATAAGTGGCACATACTAGGGTTATTTTCAGAGTTCTGACTTAAAATACATGTAGGGAATGAACGGAGACCAAATCTAAAACTCACTGGGGACAAACTTTAGATTACAGGTGTATATTTTCATTTGAAACCACTCGCAGCTTTCTGTGCTATCCAACAGTAAAGCCTTAACGTTTTTGCTAAGAGCCCCATTTTGCCTATTGTCACGAAATAACACGTCAACGCTTCAACATTTCGAGCTCGAATTTTCAGCATAAACTAGGTGGACAGTAAGCATCAACCACTGTAAACGCCGTCAAAACCGGATGTAAAATAAAATTTTGGTCCCTTAAGTATAGTTGGCAGAATGATAAGAGAGACGATTCTTACCATTGCAAGATTGTTTAAAAAGATATTCATGATTCTCTGCTATACCAATTTTAAGTAATTTTAGTTTAGTTCAGTAAAGTGTGAACATTAAAGCGTTAGAGTATGCTCCTTCTCGCTATCCTTGTAAACAGAAATCTAGCCTCCTATTGGCCCCTCTTGATTTTTTTCGAATAGAAAATAACCACTCTCGCCCCAGAAAAGTGGAAGATAAAGTTGACATATTTTACGGATATAATCTCTATATTGGCCAAATACACGATGTCAATTCATATCGCCGACAGAACAATAAAGTTCATGCAGAGTTGCGAAAAAGTACGTTTTCGTATTCAGTACACTCGATAACGCAGAAGATTGTCTGTTTTTGGCGACTGGTACTGCCAAAAGTTTAAGAAAAATGTTCAAAAAAAACGGCGAAAAAAGTTTTCCACAGGAAAATAATATTATTTTCAAAATTTTTCTTAAACTTTTAGCAGTACTCGTCGCCAAAAACAGAAAATCTTCTGCATTATCGAGTGTACTGAATATGAAAACGTACTTGTCCACTACTCTGCATGAACTTAGTTTTTTCCTTAACGTTGGTAGGTGTTCTTTTTTCCTATAGTAGTAAAAGTGGAATGATATTTTCAACCAGTGATATTTTAGATAGTCTGTGTTTCTCCACTGTTTAATTCAGATATCCATTCATTTTCCATTTCTTTCACTCTTTCTCTGATATATTTTAAGCCAAAAACTGATTGACTAGCCTTATTGACTTCGCTCCTGATTTTGTCTTTGGTGGTATTACATTAACAATTTTTGTGTTTTTTTTGCGTTTGTTGATGTCACATTCTCATTGTTTTTTTTTTTTTTATAACAATACGTTATATCTGTATATATGTCTTTTGGTATCTGCTTTAACAGACTATAGCTTCTCTGTCTTAAAATGAATATCCTGTTTTGTTCTTTTGTTGTTATTATGTATTTTATACATCGTTCTTTTCTGTCTCGCTCGTTTGATTTCTTCAAAGGAAAATAATTAATTGATTATGAGTTATTTTATATATACAAAAAAAAAGAAATTGAATATATGAACATCATCTTTATTGCTTAGAAATAATTAATTCAAGTCTCTTCAGAACAACTCAATATCTAAACGTGTTCTATTGATAAAACAAAGTCAAGAGAATAGTGAAAATTCATACAATTTCTAATAGTAAATAAGAATAATGCTAGAAAGATATAATTGTTATTAGTTAAAATATATACGGCATACATCTATAGTTTAGACTCAACGACAATTTATTTATCATCAAAACTCATATCTAGTAATAATTTGATAAATAAGTGAAGCTGAATAATCAAAATAATCCAAAATAATATTATTCAGACGAAATGTAATTTCAGTATGACGAGTTAAATAACCAAACAGTAGATGTATTTTACATTTTATATGATATTCATATTCATCATCAATCGGTACAACAAATCCATTACCAATTGATATTTTAATCGTACATTTTTCGGTTGATACATTGATGATTCAGCATGATTTTCTTCACTGAGTGAATAAAATGAGAAAGAAACGATAATTTTCAATATTTTAGGCTCTGTCATTATTAATCTAACTCATTCCTGCCCACTTATTTAATTAATTGATCTCTACAGGTGAATATGAATAACTCTATTTTGATCATGTACAGAATTTAAAATTCTCTCTCTTAGAGCCAGAGTCACGTATAATATCAAGAAAGTTGACTTCTTTTGTTATGATTATTACGTTAACATCAGCTGCTACGTCAACTTGAGCATAACTGCGCAGCATTTAATGTCTGAAAAAATTATAACTAATTTTTCATTCAGATTATTCAGTGCAAATACTAGTGCTTACAACAACTGCTTGAAATGATCTTGTGTAACCACTAGATTGTACCAAAAGGAGAACATGCTTTCTTTCTTGACAACTTGCACAAATCTAACATAAAAACCATCGTGTTTAACTGCTATGTGGTTTGATATTGTGTACGTATGTAGTCTTTGGTCGCATACATATTTTTATTTTTGTACTCATATTTCAAAATGATAAAAAAGAAAATGTAAAAAAGCTACATTCATCTAGTTAAATCTAGATTTCTGAATGTTGCAACATTTTTGCTACTTGTAACCTAGCTTATACAGACTTTTTCAATCTTAACCCAATAACAACCTGCAAAAGTTTGCTCAGAAAATTGATTTCTAATCTCCGAACTCATAGTTTTGTTTTCATGATTACTATCTCGAGCTCTGTAGTACATAAACTGAGAGAGAATTTTGGGAAATCTTAGCTACCGCAGATATAAATTTTTTCGGTTCATCTTTACAAAATCATAACAAATCGTTGTGAATTGTAAAAGTTTAATCTCACTTAAATATCAGACAGGTTATTAGGGAAATTTCCAAGTTTAAATTAAAAGCTTCATCGCTTTTTCCTATGCATTAACAAACAGATCGAAACGTATTGTCCATTAAGATTTCTCAAAATTCTCTCTCAGTTTACGTGCTACAGAACTCGCGACAGTTCCATTTCATAAGAAAATGCTATCGCTTTTCCAGTACCACGGACTTTTCCCTTCATGTTAATGATTAACACTGAACATTTTTGTTGGAATCGTTGTCAAAATCTCAACATATGAAAACAAAACTATGAGTTCTGAGGTTCGAAATCAAATTTCTCAAAAAAATTTTACAGGTTGTTGTCAGGTTAAGACTGAAAAAGGCTGTACAAGCTAGGTTACAGATTACAACATTTTTGCAACCTGCAGCAAAGCTCTAGATACTACTACTAGTAATAATAATAGAAAGCGTGTTTATTCGTTTGCAAAGTCAATCAGCTCCGTTGAGTTTCTGCACCGTCATGACAAAACGAATGGACCAAACTAAAACAAAAACAAAAGCATGACATGCTTCAGATAATGAAGAATATGATCTGACCGATTCATTGAGAAACCACTCGTTAAACAACTGCTAGAGAATGGCTATAGAGTGATGAATTGATACTTACAGGTTTTAATTTGACTGTTGCTGCTGATCTTGTTGAGTTTGTTGCTCACCTTCGTTGTTAACTTCACACTCGACAGTTTCATTTGTTGTAAGAGGTGGTGATTTTGTTCTCTCGTCACTCTCTCGTTCGTTATCTTCGACTGGCACGAGCTGTACGATGGGTGATGTCGGTTCAGCTTGATCGATACTGTCACCGAACTTGAAATTAGCACATGCCTGACGTAACTGAAGTATTTCCGGTGCAACAGATTCATCTCGTTCACCAGTCGATTCATGGTGAACAGTGGTCAACGATCGAACACGATCTTCGACTATTGGATTATCACCAACAAATGCGTTGTTGACTTGTGTCACATCACCATTTGATTGAGACATCTTGTCTGTAGATAAAAATACACCATGAGCATGAGCTACGGCACTTTGATCGTAATTCGAAGTGTTCACATTTACTGTTTCATTTGTTGGTGCTTCAGTCATTGTGGCTTTGGTATCTTTTGATGACGAAGACAACTTCTTCGATTTGGTTTTTGTTGGTTTTAGTTTCTGAGCATCTGTTTTGACTTGTTTTTTCGTTTGTTGTTTCTTGAGAGCGAAAGTGGTTGTCGAAACATCAGCTCCATTCGCTGTTGTGCTTTTGACATCACTAACTGTAGCAGTAGTGGTCGACGATTTCGTTTTACCTAATGTAGCACCCATTATTTATTGTTGCCAATATACTTTTCGAAATGGTATGAGATGGATTCACATACACATACGCACTAGAGATAGAAGACGAATTCCACTTGTTCTTTTGTTAACGATAGTGAGAGAATGTTACCAGATTGAAAAAGACGAATACCACTAACAATCACTCAGAGAGATATGTAAACATGTTTGACAAGTTGAGAGAAAAGAAGAGAAAGTTGACTAGTGGCACAATATTGATGCCAAGAATATCTATCCGTTTATCATTCTTCAAAATTATAACCGTAAGAGTGATGATAGGAAAACAAAAGAATAGTATGCCACTAATGTATGCATTGAAATTTGACTTTTTATTCTTTTCCTCCCATTTTTCATTCATCATGATATGTATACGTCTTGCACATTCCGTTTGATTCCAGATGAATGGAAAGTGTTTCACTCGATGATAACAAACGAAAATATTTTTTGTTGTCTTGGGCTATTCTTCTTGAATAATGAAAGCCGAACAGTGGGCTTTGTGTGAAGTTGATTTGAAATGAGTTTTAGCTGACTTGTAATCGAATCCGTTCGAAGCGACATGAATAAGTGCGCGCGTGAGATTTGAATGAATCATGGTCTAGGTGGATTTTCGTCAACAAAGAAGATGTTGTGGCGTGCGTTTGTAGAATCATTGTTCAACAATGTATTTTGGTTTTCTGCATGGATTTTGTTGTTATACGAGGAGTTTGATTCTGCCAGAAGAAGTCAATTTATTTCAAAGATTATCTTATTGAGAGTTTTCTATATAGGTATTAGATTTCATGCATTTTTTGGGGGGGGGGGTTTAGCACAGTTTATTCTAGAAATCAAGATGATGGAGAGCACTGGCGGTCTATCTTCAGAGCGTATAGAAGGTCGAAAAGAGATATAAACATGACGAAATTCCTCCTTTACATGGCGAAATCGATGTGCCAAATGTTATGACTAATCATTATGTTTTGTTAATATTGATTAATACCCCACTTATATTCTTATGTAGGCTGTAGGCTGAAAAAATCGTTTCCTTTCTGCATTAGTAATATTAAACTCTTAAAATATTACGGTTTTTATTGCAAGTACAAAGTAAATAATATCAGTATGTTATAGCACCTGTAGCAAGGTGCGTTTCTTGTCATGACTCGAATAGAAATATATATTCTACGTATGTTCTGCCAATTAAATAATGAATTCTTTTTATTTTCTTCCTTTAAAATCATTGATAGATTAGTTTTTTTATGTCTAACACGTTTTCATGCAGTAATACTACCGATCAGTTCGACCAGTTTTTGATTGGTATAGTTCCAAGATTTTCCGGATGGATAAAGTTAAAAAGTTTTTTCTCTCAAAACTTTACAGCTCTTCTTTCACACAACACGAAAGCGTGTTGTCATAAAGTCAGAAATCATATAAAATGTCATTACGAAGTGGACTATTGATGTGACTGGTATCCGAATGGACAAAGCTCGAATTGCTGGTACTCCTAAATGTCTCCTACGACAAATGATCACGGGATGATAATACATACGCCAATAAAGATACCCAAATAGCAACTGATAACTATTGTCTAATTTCTACTGTCACCTGCTTTCAATACTAATAAAGCAGAACACGAAAAAAGAATAAATTTTAAATTTTCGTAGGTTGATTGGAAGCGCTGAACTCTAATCTGCATTCCTACGCAAGTCCCAAATCCACATCTGTTATAGTATAGGCGTAGCAGGAGTCCCGTGAACACCCTAAACTTCGGATCGGGAAACCTGAGAAATACATGGAAACATAGGTTACCCACTACACTGAATCTTGTAGCAATGTTACTTTTTAGAATAGAATCCAAAACCTGTTAGAAACCCATAATAAATGAAATAACTCATTTTTAGCAGTTTCCACTGAAATTTAAGAAATTCATAACTCGCTCAAAGTTAAACTCAGTTTTTTCTTATTGTTGTTTCTGTTCCGTTCTACATCTGATAATTCTAAAATATGTGCGGTGAAAGAACGTTAAAAACCGGACAAAATGCGATATTTCATTACTTCAAAATTTATCGATTAATTCGAAAAAAGTTAAATTTAAGTACAATTCAAAAAATAAAAATAAAAACATGGATTTTCCATCAGATAAGCCTTCATGGTTCGCAGGATCTCGTGACAGAACGAAATGCGGTTATCAACTCCAAAACCTTTTAAAGATCCATTTTTCTTGACTTTTTTACACAAGTGCATCTGTATATCAAATATTGTGGAAAAAAGAATATAAATATTTTGATCTATTGATATATTATTAGATTTAAGATTGCACAGAAATGAAAATCTCATCGCACTGAGGCCATCGTTTCCACAAAACTTTTCAGTATGAAAAACAATTTGTTTTTTCTAAATATTAACATATTTTTTATCTTTCTTACAGATCAGAGGTCCAGCTTTATGCCGCAATTTAATTTTCCACCTATTTTTGAGGATAGCTATCAAATAGCGCTATCCATCACTATCACAGACGTAGTTACTGAGGGGATGGTGGTGACCCCCCCCCTGGTTTTAGAAAAGTTTAAGGCTTTGCACTTCAAAACAAACTTCTTTTTGGGAAGAACAAAAACATTTTTGGGCAGGACCACCCTCTGCTCTGAGATGCTAGCTACGCCCCTGATCACTATCATTTTAAGTTTAACAACGCTACGATTTGAATGCTAGCGATAGATGGCGTTATTTAATCCTCGAAAATAGAAAACTTAAAAAAGAAACATTATTTCTTTATTATTTTATTCAAATTTTAACTATTTGAATTGATCGTCGCGCTTTTAAAAAGTAAGAAACCATAAAAAAATGTTCAGAACTTCACCAGAGATGAACGATAACTACTATTTATACATGTTTATATGTTTAAAAACATATATATATAGTTTATTTGTCTGTATGTTTTTAAACATTTTTCTGCTGCCTGATGAAGACTACTTGATAATCAAACCGTTACTTTTGGATAAATAATTGAAAATAAAAAAGAGTAAAATCGAGTTAGTCAGATCAAAAAAGACCTTTCGCAAACGAAATAAATTATAATCTCAATAAATTGAAAAGGTATACAAATTTTTGGAATACCGTTTGTTTTTATAACAGCAATAAATCTGAAGTTTCAAACCGTAAACTCTGCCGAGTTCTCAAGCCAGTGGGAATTTTTCGTTTTACGCTCAATCTATTCTAAGTTTCTTTCCCCTCTTGAAGCTTTCGATATCAGTGGAATTTTATATCTGTTCTACAGTAGTTCTTTATTTCACATCATATAAAACATAGCAAACAGGAAAATGAAAAAAAAATTCAGAAAATAATCAGTTGTTGAATTCTTAACAACTGAACAATAAGGCACCGAATATAACTGTTACTGTTATATGAATTGAGGCGATAGGTCTAAATAGACAGATGACGGGTAAAATGGCAACGAATATGAATGTGATAAGGGGAGTTTGTGAACAAGATTTCTTTTCGAACATTTATGGGCCACCAACATTAAATGTTCTCTGTGCCATCAACGAAATGATTAAGATGTTCAACGATTCATTAAAATTACCGAAATTCCAATTATTTTACAATATGATACCACATATTTAATTTGTGTGACGGTGACGATCACAGTGACAGGTTAATTCTATTTGCGAGCAGGAAGATTTCTGTTTCATCTTGACCTTTCCGAACATACTTCGTGTAGTCCGGAGAGAAATGTCGCTAGAAATCAATAACACAAAAAAGTCGGCTATGGATAATAAAACTTGCAGAGTATAGATAATCTATCATAGCAAATCGATCAGAAATACTTCCAGTAGGGCTGTCGCGACCAGTCAGACTTTGGGGGGTGCTCCACTGAGACAAAAAAAAAATTTTCTGCTGGGAAAAATCGAGAATTTTTTATTTTTTCGGGGGGTGTCGCACCCCTCAACTTTCATCCAATGAATTCCGCCGAAGAAATTCTCTTATATAGCAAATAATTATCGACAGTCTACACACTAAAGGACTGAAAGCTAGACGTAAGTTGTCACGATCAACGTAAACACACGATGACACTAGCGGCTTAGGCCTAGCTTTCAGTCCTACCGTATCTTGACCTTTTATTTTTCGGTATTCTTTATAACTTATCGAAGAACGAAAGAGATGAGAACGACAATACTAGCCATGAGCCGGATGGAAATCCGAAAAGTTTTTTTACCAGGACCGGAACCGGAACTACAAAAGCTTTTTCCGGGACCGACACTAGAACTAAGATTTCTTTTGACAGTTGCGTAAAATCAGCTAAAACTTGATCTATTCTTCGTACTTTAATAGAAATGTTGCAGAAAATCGTCAGGAAGTCTTACAGTTCGATTTTATGTAAATGGGCATGCACCGGTTATTTTGCTTATATGATCAGACGAAGAAACATATGGCATACCTCGTCCATTAAGGAACAAATAACAGATCACTATCGATTAAAAAAATCCTGAACTTTCCGACATTAATAAAATATTTTTTCCGTGTAAGAAGAATTGCTACACCAAGGACCTACTTAAGGACCGGGACCAGAACCATAAAAATCCTCTGGAATCGACACCGGAACTGAAACTGGAAAGGCTTGGTCCCGCCCATATCTAGGCAATACATCACCGATCCATCTGTTTCTAGTGAGTAATTCAGAAAAGGCATATTTTCTCATCGGTTAAGTGGAACGATAGAGTGGATAATATAATGGTTACGGAGACGGAAAACTGGAGACATCAGTTTTGAATATTCTAGTATTAGCTTTTCACGAAATTGTGTAACAGACAAAACGCATTCTGCTGTAATTCTTACACATGCTCTCATATAGCATATATTTCTCTATGGCTGATTTTGTGTCTTTTGCTTATCTCTGGAAGTTCCAGAGATGGGCAGCTCCGACTCCGGAGCGGGTGATGAAAATCACCGGAGCTGGAGTAAGCGTTTTATGAGAGTCATGAAGTCGGAGCGGAGCGCTTCGTAAAAAGTATGAAGCTAGA